TTTTATTGCACAAGCTAACAATTATCTTCAGTGACAGAACTCATGCAAAAATGTGGGTAGATGGGACTGGATTTCGCCACGATCATTCCATGAATATTTATCTGATGGAGTGATCTTATGCAGCAAGATATGAATATAAATAAAAATTATTATTATTATTATTATTATTATTTATTAAATTTCCGTCTTTCAACACTTTATCACGAAACCATGATATCACATTCCATGACACAATTTTGTTTCTGGGTTTTTTTTCACAACCACAATTTCAAATCGGGATCTTCCAACCATTTTTGCAACATAACTGGGCATTTTTCCTTTCAAACAGGACAAAATTGACAGTTATATTAAAGTGACAGGATGAGCTAGAAATATATATATCTCCTGTTCAAAAGGGTATGCATGCTTAGCCTAGTAATAGCCTCATTTTGGCCCCTTAGTACCTACAGCATCCCTCTTTAAACCTGTCCCCTGCTCCAAATCCAGATTCCTGCACTAGTTGGGGAGAGAGGGAGTGTTTCATGGTCTTTGGGCATTAGCAGCTTAAAGCAAACAGTAGGGAGATACATTGCAGATATATTGGGTGTCTATTGGAAAGGTAAACAGCCTGGAAGGGGGCAGAACCCAGCTCCATCTGCCTCCCTGCAAGGTCACAGCGGGGCACACCTGCGATGCCCCTTTAAGCAGCAATGAGAAGAGGCTTGCAACTATACACTGCCGCCTTGTTCGGCTCATGGCCGATTCCTGGCAGACGGAGGGCAAGCTGATAGCAACAAGTGTGCCAGTGAAACACGGGCTGCACACCTGCCGATTTGCAGATTTGCATCTGCAAACACTGGCTTGGCACGGGAAACCCTCTCTTGTACATTTCTGGCCAAAGAGGCACAAAATGTAATGTATATACTCATGTATATAGGTTTAGAAATTTTAATTAAAAAATTGACCGAAAAAAATCGACCTACCCATGGGTCAATGTAAGTACTGTGCTTTATTAACTCATTTTTTAAAAAAGGGAAGAATTCCCTGATGAAAAGCAAGATTGCAATCTGTCCTGGAAGCACTAACCCGCTCTACTCTCTCATCCATCCAGCCTTTAGTCTGAACCCAGTCAATTATGTCTGCTGGAATTTTATACCTTCTTCGGCATTGTTTTCCTTTGCTTCATCCTTTAAATCCTTTGTTACATGCCCCTAAGTTTTACCCTCGACTTATCCATAGGTCATATCAAAATCCATAATTTCGGCCCCAAACTTGTCCTGGTCTTATATATAAGGTGGACTTAGAGTTGAGTATATATGGTAGGATGTGTTGGATGTGTTGGAGAAAGAGATGGAAATAATCCTTCCTTCAAGGGCAAAGACCAGAGCTTG